CCGAAGTTTGTCTTGTAATCATCTTCTCAGCAGGTTTCTTATTGTTCTTCTTATTCCCAGCCTTGTTTGACTTGGACTTCTTTATCACTTCGATTACCTTGTCTCCTGATGGGTGCTGGTCATCCATTGCTCCTCCATCGTCCTGATTTTGGAGCACATTCTGTGCTCTCGCTTGTAACTCAGCATTTTGGGCTTCCGTGAACGTCTCTATGGACTTCAAGTGAGTGGTAATAATTACCTTATTTGAGTCATGTAGGTAAACTATGTACCCTTTAATTTCTTCTGAAATCCCCAGGATGGTACCTGACTCTGAGCGCTTATTAAGAGTTGATCTTGCTTTCCCTGGGTCTCTAAACACTGGACTGGGTGGGGAGGAATCGTCCGTCATTGACGGTGGCATCATGGACGCATTTGATGCCGACATCTTCTTCTCTAGGGGGTCTAGCGGAGCATTTCCGAAAACGACACTAGGCGCGCGCTTAATGCTTCGGGTCCTTGTGAAGCAAGGTGTTGCACGCCCTTAGGGCCAAGCAGGCATATCAGCTTATTATGTCCGTCTGCATGCCCTGGGGTAAATGGCAGAATTGCTCCATCCTCACAAAGGATAAGTCGTAATGACTCAGGCGTACACTGACTACGAGTGCTACCAAGTGCAGCGGGGCTGCCGTAGCTTTTAGCCTAGAGGTGGCTAAGCTTAGGTCACCGACCTTACGTTCCATACCAGAACCAATACGACTGTAGGGAATCGCAATCCGCTACCTCCTAAAGTACCCAAAACCCCAACTAAGACAAATACATAGTTGTATTTATTTGCTTAATTTGCGACAGAGCCGCCTATATCTAACACCTTAGGTTTTCCTAATTAAAGAGTAAAACCTAATTAATATGCATTACTACTGGCAGTCCCACCACGTAGTGGCTTCTTGTTACAGTGAAGCCACACCATTGCGTGATTACACCGACTTGTGTAATCCACACCTTTGTACGATCATAGCATCTTGTGTGACCCACCTCTGTATACCAGGGTACGTGCAACCCCGTTACAATATGGATGACAAACCTCAGAGAGTGAATTCGAGTTCTGTACTACATCACCCTCGGACGCAATCCATGGTGCTCGGAGAGGGTCGATGCGCTGCCACAACTGAGAGAGCTTACGGGAGAATGCTGCAAGAGAGCAGACCTCCGTCAGCACTGCTTGATGAGCAAGGGCGTACAACATTCACATGGAACGCTGTTTTGGACCGGCGGATAAACCGGGGCTGTAAACAGTACCTGGTGAAGTGGAATGATTACTCTCAGTTTGGAAACTCAACTGTGTTACTCAGCTCGTGCATAGGGCGAGGAAAAAACTGCTACCTCATCCGTCTTAAGGCTTCGCAAGCCAGCTTCGATTATATATATATATATTCTGCTGTTCTGAAGCTTCTATCGTCTTTCGACAAAGGATCGATTACACCGCAAGGCCGGTTGCCTTTCACCGATGGGAACTCGCTTTGATGAACGACCCTACCTCTCTATTGACGAAAATAGAAGCCGAGGATGCTTCAGGTCATTGGTGACTACTACACCAGGCCAATCTGGCCGAAGTGAAATATCAGTGGCACTTTCACCGGATATTAGGACTGAAGGTAGATCCCTCAAAAGGGGTTGGTTTCCTCTAATGCTGTTGCTCTAAGCTTAGAGTTACTTTTGAGGACTGATGACCTACGGGTTGAGAATGCGCTGGTGGAGAGACTTCATCGCGCTCGTTTCGCACTGTAGAGCGGTTGTGTACTTACCCTTACATATCTGGTATAATTGTATCAATTACAAGAGAATACAATTGTACGACATTCACATCTCACTTGGTGAGCAAAGACATATTATGCCATTTTTGCATTGATAATTAATTTGATCAGCAAATATCCAAATTCCATTCACGTTTAAAATTTCAAATTTTATGACAAAAAACGGAAGACATTATGGACACCTCGGACGAGAACGTCTCGGACTCGAACGTTTCGGACACGAACGTCAAGGTCTTTTGCCGCGTACGTCCACCCAGTGAACGTGAGCGTGGTAATGAATCTGCATCTCATTTAAGCAGCTCAGCAACTTTATTAGCACGCGTAAATACAACTTCATCCGTAAAAAAGTGCGTGACTGTTCCTGCATCGGATAATACGCAGCAGACAATTTATTTGCAAAGTAAACACTGTCTATCTAAGACTTTTACATTCGACCGCGTGTTTGATGAAGATGCGAGTCAAAATGACGTTTTTGAAGTCGTTGGAGCACCCATAACTCGGGCTTGTCTCAAGGGCTATAATGGAACTATCTTTGCGTACGGCCAGACAGGATCTGGTAAGACGTTTACTATGCAGGGCCCAGATGATGTGATTGATACAGAGGCACAGAATTTCACACCGGAGCAACTGGCTTTACGCGGTCTCGTCCCACGAGTCTTTGACTATCTCTTTGACAATGTTGTAGCTGCTGACAGCCGTAAGAATGTGCAGCACACCTTTGCTTGCTCATTTCTCGAGATCTATAATGAACGGGTGTACGATTTACTAGATCAACGTAGTACAAAAGACACTGCCGGGTTGCAACTACGGGAAAGTGGTCGAAAAGGTGTTCACGTGGAAGGGTTGATTGAAAGCGTAATTACAAATTCAAGAAAAGCTGCTGAACTCATGAAAATTGGAGCACAAAACCGTAGGGTGGGACAAACATCGATGAATCGAGAAAGCAGTCGATCTCACAGTGTCTTCATCCTGCAATTGCAGTCAAAAGAAATTTCTGCAGCAGGTATAAAGACCCGTACATCGCGGTTTAACTTAGTGGACTTAGCAGGCTCTGAGCGACAACGGAGCACAGATGCAGCGGGTGAGCGGCTAAAGGAAGCGGGAAATATCAACAAATCGCTTTCAGCACTTGGAAATGTCATTTTGGGCTTGTCAGAGTTATCAGTAGGCAAACATCGCCATGTACATTATCGCGACTCCAAGCTCACATTCCTGCTTAAAGATTCATTGGGTGGCAATTCGAAAACGTTTATGGTAGCGACTATATCGCCGGCTGAAGAATCTGCCTTTGAGACGCTATCAACTCTAAAATTTGCACAACGAGCCAAAATGATTCAAAATAGTGCTAGAGTTAATGAAGACGCGGTCGGAAGTACTTTGTTTCTACAAGAAGAAGTTCAGCGATTACGTCGGAAATTACAGCAAGCGCACACTGAAATTGCGCGGTATCTTCCTGGTTCAAAATTACTTATGCAAGACACAATGTCTTCGGAGAACATGCCAAGCCACGACCCGCCATGGCAACGAGACACAAGTTATCCTGCTATTGATTTGCGCTTTCGTGAGCTGGAAGAAGCTTTTGCTTTGTCTGCAGAGACGAATGAGAGACTACAGCGTTCGTGCGAGTATTTGCGGCTTCAAAATGACAATGTTCAAGCGCTATGTGTGGAGCTAAAGCAGAACGTTGCCCACTTAAGATTAATGCTTCGATTGCAAGGAAATGATAGATCAGGCGTAAGGGACTATACACCGTCGGCTGATGCCATTGAGTGGAGGATAAAGTACGAAGAGGTGGAAGAACGCGTCGTTGAGCTTGAGGAAAAATTAAAGTGCATTGATAATCAAGACACTGCCATCACTGCAAAGACGATGAGTGAGGTGGAAAATCTTAATATGATGCTGTTAGGTCTATCGCGCCAATTAGCGGCTGTATTGCGGGACAAGCACGATTTGCAAGACCGTCTACTAGAGAATCAGTCGAAACAGGAATCAAGTATGGAGGGTCCTTCTTCGCTGGACAGAATGGACTCAGATTTTTCGGCACGTTTGGAGGAAGCGCTAAAGCAACAGGCAAACGAGTTTCAGGCGAAGCTGGATTCAGTCTCTGCTTTTAATGCCTGTTTGGAAGAGAAAGCTGCAGAAACATCTCTCGAGTTGCACCAGATCAAGCGGCGTGAGGCTTCTTGGTCTGTACAGCAACTTGCTTTTGAAAAACAAGCTGCTGATTTTCGTTCCGCGATGCTAGAGGCTGAAAAAGCACAACTTTCGAGTATAAGCAGGTTGCTTCAGGAGGAAAGCGAGAAAGAAGAGTTGAAGCTGCAGCTAGAGCGAGCACGAGAGGGCATCAGCCTTGAATATGAAGTTGCGTTGGCTGATGCTTCCACAGCCAACAAGAACCTTGAAGACAAGTTAAAATTGTTACAGCAGCAAGTCGCTTCGATGGATGCTGAGATTTATGAACGTAAAGAGCAAGCTCACGAGGCCATGCTCGCGCTTGATAATATCAAGACAGAAATGGAAATTCTTGAAGCAGCTAACAAAAGTTATGAGCTGCAACTTAGCGAAACTCAAAGCGAAGTTGAAAAGTCGTCGCACGTGGCAGCTCGTTTGCGTACTGAAGTATTTGATCGTGAGAAGTTGATTGAGGAGCTGAGAAGATCTGAAGCAGTCATCACTAAAAAGTCGAGAATTTTGGAGAAGGACCTGGCCGAATCTACCACAATTGTCCGACAGTTGCAGGAAAGTGCTGCTACTACTACGCAAAAGCACTCAGAGGCAATTGAGAAAATAAGGTGCCAAGCAAAAGAGCACGAGAAGACATTAATTGAGGACTTTGAGATGCAACTTAGTAAAAAGGACGAACAGGTGATGCAACTTCACTCTGCGCAAAATGACCTTCGAGCTAAAACAGAAGAATCTACACGTCGTAACAGCATAATTATGAAGGAAATGGAGGAGACACTTTCATTGTTACAGCGTCAGCTAGAAGACCAACAACAGAATTCGAAATTGGCGCTTGAAGATGTCGAGCAGAAATTGTCAAGCGCTCTAAGTGATATCTCCACTCTTGCGAAAGAGAAGGAAAAGATTGAACTCGAATACGCGGCAGCAGTGCAACAAATTGATCATTTTCAGCATAGTTTGATAAGTCTTGAAAATGAAAAGCAGGGAATGGCGAGCCAGATCGAATCTTCAGTGGAGCATACGGAGCAGCTTATTGCTCAAAAGAGTAGACTGGAAAATCAAAATGCTGAGCTTGTCAAAACGTGCAATCAGCAGCAAATTGAGCTGTCGAAACTAGAAGATTCTACAACGAAATTGAGTAAGGATGTTCAGGAACTGCGGCAACAGATCACATCACGATCGAAAGAGGCTGCAGAGCTTCGAGATGATCTGGCATCAGCACGGAATGATCTATGTCAAGCCTCAGTCACGAAAGCTGAGCAAACCACTAAACTCTCTAATAGCACAGCAAAGATTGAGGAACTTAAGCAAGAACTTGCTGTCAAGATTAAAGACATGGACAGTGTGACTATCAAGCTCGAGAAGGCAGTAAGTGACTTTCAAGACGCTGAAAGTACAATTTTGCGCCAGCAGAAGCAGCTTGAGATGTATCAAGGTATCCAGTCTGCGTTGCGCGACGAGCTAAAAAAGCTGGAATTTGAGCGTCTAGAGCTGACCGAATCTTTGAAATCGGAACAGGAATTGAAACAGGATGTAGAGGAAAATTTTGCTAACGCCAAAGAAACTTGGTTTGTGGAGAAAAATCAGCTTACCAAGCAGTTTCAGAGCGCGATATCTGCTCTTGAAGAGCGCATCAACGAGTTGACCTCCAGTCAAGCGCCTCTTTTAGCTCGAATCCACGAATTAGAGCAAGAAAACGATACTGTGAGAACTTTAGTCGTAAAAAAGGATGAACACGAACAAACTCTGTTGCATCGTCTCGCTGACAAGGAGGCTGAGATTAGAGCGCTGGACCTGAAAAGCGCAGACTCAATAATTACACAAAAACAAACGATTGAGGATCTAAAAAGTAGCGTGCATGACCTAGAGCACCAGCGGGCAGAGCTGAAGAAGTCAATTACACTTAAGGAAAAGGAGATCGTGAGCACATTGGCGACTATAGCTCAGCGTGACAATTTGGTTGCGTCATTGAAAGAGCAAGCGCTTGACGTCGAAGCTGTGCGAGATCGAGTGATTCACGACTTCAAAGTAGAACTGGAGGCGTCAAATGGACGCGTGCAGGCACTCGAACAACATATAGCCGAGAAGACGGCAGTGTTTGAAAAGACGGAAAAAATGTTGGTGGCAGAAAATGATGCACTGAAAAAACATCTTGAAGGAACTAAAAAGAGTCTGGCACACCAGAACAAGCAGTCTGGAGACAAAGACGCAGCGCTTGAACTTGCCAATAAATCCATCATCGAATTAAAAGACCAACTAGCAGGCAGTAGTAGTGCAAAGGTACAAGAATTGCAAGCTGCACTGGAAGAGATGAATGCAAAATATCAATCAGCGGTTGCCGAAAACGTGAAGTTTAAAGAGCAGGAAAATGAGCTACAACGTCGTCGTAGTGAACTGGACATAGCAGAGGAGCGCAATCAGTCCATTCAAAAGGCACTGGAGACTCAACAGGCAGTCGTCGAGAATATGTTGAAAGAAGCGAAGACGAAGGTAGCGTCTCAGGATGTGATTGGACAGGTGAAACGCAAGTTTTTGACAGAAAAGGTCAAGCTGCAGCGAGAAATTCAAACCCTGACGAAAAAATTGGAGACTTTGTCGAAAGAAAACGAGAAGTTAGTTGGCCACCACAACAGTCGCCAAAAGATCCAACACCATGTCAAAGTTAAGGAGGAAAACAACCGTCTCTTGGAACAAGTACGGCAGCTATCGGACGAAAAATTTAAGCTACAACGGTCTCTTGAAAATGCCCGTGTGTTGCTTAAAGAAAAAGAAAACGCTGGAATTGAAATGAGAAGAATTACGTCGCCTGTGTCACCTGCCTTAAGCAATTTGTCCAACAAATCGCAAAATTTAACTTCTTCTGTCAAGTCTCCACAACTTGCTCGTGCCACGCTTAATAAAATAGTAAAACTAGATCGAGGAAAACCTACTAGTCGGTCGGCATCGCCTAGACCGAGTAAGAAACGGCGAACACCAACAGGACCAGAGTGGCAACGATAACCTCGAAACAAATGCCGCACCATCCCAACATGCGTAACGACTGCAGAAGTGAAGCACTGAGTAATTTATCCATATATGATTTATTTATTGAGTATTTAGTTGGCAATGACTTCGCAAATTGATGTGGCCGTGGCAATGAATACTGAGACTGCGGGAGACTCGTTGATGGTGTCGTCAGGTGCTGCGAATAAGTGAGTGGAGATTGTGACGCCTATGGATATAACTAACCACGAGATGCACTTTAATCACAGACAAGCTCAAGAGATTGACAGTGAAGATCAAACTGTTTTACAGCCAGCAGCGGATGACGTGGACTTTGTTCGGCAGGAACGTTGCTCGCTACAAACAGCGAAGCATAATGCAACCAATGCTTTGCAAGCTACAGTTGCAAATGCTGATCAGTCAATGGAGAGAATTGCACACGTAAATCTTGATGGTGACTGCTCAAGTGTCAAGAGAGAAAGCCCAAAGAGTGTTAACAACGAAGAACAAGTGATGGAAGAGGAGGAGGATGCCAAAAAACGGGCGGGCTTCCAAACTACTCCGAGCAAGTCCAAACAGAGCGAAGAGTTTTTTCGAGCTGTGTATCGTGCTGACAAGTACAAGATTCGAGAAATGCTTGAAGATAATGTCGTTGATGTCAACGTTGCGGATCAGGTGTGGTGATGATCGTATTGTTTGTGTTTTTTCGCCTTCCTCTCAGTTCTCTCTGTAGCATGGCTGGAGTGGTCTGCACTGGGCGGCATCTCAAAATCACGGCGAAATGCTAAATTATCTTTTACAAAAAGGTGCTGAAGTTAACGGTGTCGACGAGGTAAATAAACATACGTACGATCAAACCAATTTGACTTCTCACCATAGATTTATTTATCCAGATCAATGGTTGGACTGCTCTTCACGTGGCCATTGTGCGCGAAGCTGTCTCCTGCGTCAATATTCTTTTATCCTCTGGTGCTGACCCTAGTATTCGGGACAAGTACAACGATACCGTCATTGAGTGTCTGCAAGCTGCTAGTAAGAAGAACAAGCGCAAGATGTTGCAACTCTTGCATGAAGCTCGCAGCAAATAACACTAATAACATCCTTTTATATCTCGTTTTTCGTGTATTTACTACCACATGCGTCTTTTGTATCGCTACATGCCAGTTAACAATCCTTCTGTCCTCTGCATCATCTACGAGGAAGCACCAAAAGACCCGACGTTGTCTTTCTTGTCATTCTTCTCCACCTTGACCGATTCGCGGTATTTTTGAAGATAAAGCTTAAGTGGCTCTACATACGAGTCAAAGCCTAAAGTACTCATAGCCCAGATAATATCGTCGCCATTAATAGTCTTGCGCTTTTCTTGTTGGCATTTGTCACTCGCTTCGCTTGTAATAAACGAAATAAATTCGCTCACACACTCTTGTACCGTCTCTTTGCCGTCTTTGGCAATCTTGGCTGTCGAAGGTAGCGAAACTTTCATGATACGAGAGATGTTTGCAGTTGGAAGGAAACGGTCCTGTTCACGGATCTCGTCATCGTTATGGTCGTCTTTGCTTGCCATTGTCGACTTCTTTTTTTTTAGATTTAAATGTTCGATTTCGTCCCGTATTAATTAAAAGGAATTGAAGAGATAAGTATACTAGACGTTTTGCATAATATTATAAAAACAATTGTCTGAAGGGATAAGACATAAAAATGAGCTTTCACCTCACATCTATTCTAAACCTCGTCGTCCACGTCTTCTTCATTAATGTCGTCGGTCTTAAAAAACGTATAAGACAGTGTGATATTATGCACGCCATTCATAAACGGATCGTCACATATTTCAGGGTCAATAAAGAAAAACACGGGCATATCAATTTCTTCGTTTGGCTTCAGTCGCTGTTCCTCAAAACAAAAGCATTGAATCTTATTGAAGTACACACCAGACGATGGTGGATATACGTTGTATGTGGCAACGCCAGTAATTGCCTTATCTGACTTGTTCTTGGCCGTATAAAAAGCAAGTGCCGTCTCACCTGGCACTAGCAGAATATCACGTTGTTGTGGCCGAAATACCCACGGCATATTGGCACTTACACCACCATCAAAGGTTACACGAATGGGTTTGGCGTCTTCTCGAGGTGTTAACTTGCTAGCCGTAAAATCCTCGGCACGTTGCGTAGTACCACCAAATCCTGTCATTTGACAGAATATTTTGTACAATGGAACGGCAGCGTACGAGATGCCAACCCAGGCAATGGCTGTGCCAGCCAGGTATATGACGGCTCGTCGGTTGCGCTTTTTGATAGAATCACGACGTGCCTGCTCCGCTGCATGCCTGGATATACAGCGCAGTCCATTTATACTGGTAGGACGCAGAAAAAATGGTGAAGTTGATGACAAGAGACACGCGCCCTGTCGTATGACGCGGAATTGCTTTGAACGCATTAATCAGACCACAAAATTCCTTATGAAATTGTGCAATGAATTTCTGAAACTTTCGGAAAATAAACAAGCATAAATTTTATAGGTTGTACGCCGAAAGATAAGAGTTAAATGCCGGACAGGATAATGTGAGAAATGGCTATAAATTTCCCTCGAATCAATACTGTGGGTAACGCTGAGTCCCCAGAAGTAAGTTTGAATTTTCTTTAGGTTGATAGGTGCGTCTCTAGGTTAGAGCTACCGACTAGTGTCTCGACTTTAATGTTCCTCATTCTCACAAAGTTCTTTGTACGCAGCCTCGTCCAAGAGATCGTCCAGGTCCTTCACGTCATCGAGCTGCAGTAGATTAAACAATTTAGTTCAGCAATCATTTATTTATCATAACGCAGACATGCAGCTCACCTCGAGCTTGATGAACCAGCCGCCCGTCATAGCTTCGTCATTTACAAGATTTGGGCTCTCAGCCAGATCCTACAGCAGTCAGCAGTTAGCACTAATTCAATATCAAACTCTTAACACAACATCCTCGTACCTCATTTACAGCCGTAACGGTGCCCGAAGCAGGTGCGTAGACATCGCTAGCAGCCTTTACGGACTCCACAGCACCAAATGCATCGCTAAACACTCAGAAAAATAGTCCATACTGAGATTAAAATCAAAGACCATAACATCGTTTGTATGTACCCCTTAGCAAGCTTGTCTCCAACAGCCGGTAAATCCACATAAACAACATCACCGAGCGAGTTCTGGGCAAAATCGGTGATTCCGATAGTGCCTTCCTTTCCGTTAAGAGTTACGTACTCATGCTGAGGCGTGTACTTGGTCGAAAAGAAGGCATAACCCACAGAACGTTGTGCTCTTGCTTTCCAAGCTGTGGAAGTGGTTGACTTCAGAGCACGTGCACAAAATGTCTGCGAGATTCCGCGGAGAGCCATGATGAAAAAGCGTTGGTGACAATTTCGGTGTGGTGAATGAATCTTTGAAATTGTAATGAGCATACAAAAGCTTAGATAAAGTCAAAAATCAAAGTAACTGGTCAATGTTAACGCGCTACGGTTTACATCCAACGGCGCGTGCAGCATTACGCAGCCACTTTTATCGCAGTTTTAGTGTTTTGCCAGATACGAGCAATAATGTTGCAGGACATAGCGTAGGTCAACACAATGATGATAAGTCTACTAAGTTGGTGAAACGTAAAGTGGCCATTGTAGGCGGCTTCATGGGCAAAGGTTTTCATGGGCTACAACTTAATGACAATGTATACACCATCGAAGACGAGATCCGACGCGCCATTTTACAAGCTGGTGCTATGCGCGATTCAAATTTTGAACATTTGAGCAAGATTGACTGGGCACGGAGCAGCCGTACAGACAAAGGTGTGCACGCAGGATGTATTGTGGTGCGTAGTAGATTGATACTTTAGGCAGAAGAATCCAATATTGAGATTCTTTGCCTGAACAACTGCAGTTTTCAGGAAAGCTGCTTATTGATGAAGAAAACAGAGTTGACCCGGTCTCAGGTCGTGTTCACTGTCTTAAAGAAGCATTAAATGCCTCACTACCAGATAATATCCGCGTCTTCTCTTGCACCAGAGTGAATAAACGCTTTTCTGCGCGTAAGAATTGCGTGTTACGTGAGTATGAATACTTTATGCCACTCTCGTTTGTCAAAGGTAGTATTATCAAAGCTACCAATGGTGACTTTGACCCAGATCAAGCTGTCACTGAGTTCTGTCATGCTCTGCGACGGTATGAAGGAGTGCACGATTTTCACAACTTTACCCGCTCCCGGTCGTACTTTTACAAAATTCAAGCAAAGAAAACTCAGAACGAACGATTACTGAATGAGATCAAATCACTGGATGATGTCATGGATGACGATACTGAGAGTGAAAACTCAGCTGTGGAAGGCAATTCAGAGGAGATAAATCAACTGTCAGATATTGAAGGATACACCCGCAAGCAACTGTTTCGTCATCGTCGCTCCATTTACTCATGCACAGGCAGTGTTGTATCAAATTTTGATAGCGAGCCATACTTGCGAGTTCGCATTGTTGGTCAAGCTTTTTTGCTGAATCAAATTCGATGCATGATCGGTGCCGCTCTTGCTGTCGCAACAAAAGGGATGTCCTGGAGCGAGTTCGATGCTGCTTTATGTAAGTATTTTCGTTGCTTCCAACATATAGAATTTTTTTTCTAACTATGTGGGCTTGAATGCGTCTTCAGTGACAAATCGCATCGTGCGCGTGCCAATCGCTCCAGCTGAGGGTCTTGTTCTTTTAAGTAGCTCTTTTGGAGGTAGGCTCCACACTGTATCGTTGTACAACGACTCAAATACACCTCTTGCAAAAGAGCGCATTGGTGTGATGCATCGAGTTCTTTTGGATCACAACGAAGACGAAGAAATGAAGAACTTTCGAGAAGAAGTGATTTACAAGCAGGTCGCGCAAAGCTGGAATATGGAGATGGACCGTTGGCGCACTTACCTTGAGCGCTGCTACGAGGCAAATGAACATTTGAATGAAGACGAACTATGTCAGTTGTTGCACGAGCAAGATCAATCCAAGCTCGCGCATAAACACAAGAATAAGACTTTTCTTGAGTACAATCGCGTTAAACTTACCGAAATCGGGCGTCAGGGCGCGTTGCTACCAAAACAGTTCACTACGAAGCTGTGCATTCGGTACAACGTGGCACCAGGCATTTTCACGACGGATCTGCGCCGCGCTATCGCACATGTGAGTTGCGCTACGACAGATGTAGCTCTTTGAGAAATGCACTAATGGAGAATTTGTGCTATTTGTACCTGTTACAGCATTTAAAAGCCGGTAAAATCCCACACGACGCCGATGAAGAGCAGATAATGGCCTATATCGACAGTTGCGGTCCCAAAACGCTTGCCAAGGAGGGTCGCTATGTGCGTCTAAATATTCAAACGTGACAAATGTTTGAAAGGCTGTGCTTTGTGGCTCTTTATCTCGTCTTCAGGACAGATGAAGAGAAAACTATTTGGCATCAAGAAGATATGAATCTGATCAGGACGCATATGTCCTTTACCATTTTGAAGAAATCAAGGTGCGTTGTTCGGTTGACGCCGTAATAGAAACAATTTACCAGATAGTCGTCATATACATAAAGTGAATGGAAACCTTTTGAATTCATAAAATTAATCATATATGATTAAACAAAATTGTAAGAAGTACATGTGAGAGTTGCAGATTGTCCGTACGTACACAATACCATTCTTAACAATATGTACAAAATGTATGAAGCGAAGTGTCTGTGGTAAGCGTTCAACGCATACCACCTTGAGCAACTTATTCTTGCTTCGATATGCTCAAAGTGCCCTACAAATGAAAGGAATGTAGACGACACATGCTTTGGTTGCTGTATAGTGTTAAAGATCGGCTTAAAGCATACGTTGCGCGACCGAATTCCCGGACCAAGGGACGATATTTATGATTTTGCCCGCCATGACGCAATAGGATTGCGCCAAATGACGCCATAGGAAAGGCTTAGAGGTAGCATAGAGTATCGAACTAAGGACCTGAATATTTTCATTTCCGAATTGCCTTTTACTCTTCATTTCGTCTTCTCAACAAGTGATGAGTCCAAATGACTCAGACGACGCGCCAAGCACACCGAATCCAGTCAGCTTCGACGCCGGCCACGAAAAAGTCGCAGCGTCTCCAGCAGCTGTTGAGAACACGCCGACCGCTCAGCAAATGAGCGACGACGTCAACGCAGGAATTCTCGCCACCGTTCTCGACCTTCATGCAAGGATGATCCAGATGGAGGCCTCGCAAGTGAAGCGAGACGAGGACGAGCGTATGCCTGGGGCGATTGAGTCTGGAAGTTCCACTCTGTCCTTGGCAACGGTCGAGGGGGGTATTCCGATGCACATCGACTTGCTAGGCCATTCGCCCGTGCGTTAGGGGGAGGACAAGCCGCGCATACGCGCAACGTGCAAATGGGGCAGGAAGACATCCTGCAAGGTCGAAGTGGGATGCTCCGCGCGGCAAAGTGCCGCAGCAGACGCGGTTCCATTCGCCACAGTATGCAGCGGCACAGGACTACGCACGACGAATGGAGCCGGTCGCATGGCAAGCGATGCGTGTACCGGATAAGCGTTAGCGCAGGCTCACGACCCGCAAGTTCGACGGGACTGAGCTATACCGAGGCCTGGGCTCCGGGTTTCTGAACTGGGGTCGGACATTCATGCGCCAAATCCAGTATGCGCAAGCAGCGTGTGGCTTTGACTGGTCATAAGACCGAATGCTCGGTCACTACTTGAGTGAGACGGCCGAGCGGTGCTATAACAAGCAGAAAGAGACTTGGTGGCGCCAGCTCCCGACGCTGGACCATGTTATGGAGCGACTTCACCAAACGTTCAAGAGGACGATCACTGCGTCACAATCAATGAGACTGTATACGGCGAAGAAAGACGCCAAGAGGACCTGGCCCAAACACGACCTGTACTTGGTGGCAGTAAGAGATGCGTGCTGACGCATAAGTACTCGGCAACATCGTCCACTATGCGTCGAGTGAGCTGCGCAGGGTACTAATGGCAAAGTACGATGCCAGGCGCCTCGACTTCCTCGTTCAAGGTGAAGAGCTCGCGCAGTCGCACAGTCTGTCGAAATTGATACGAGAGATACTACTTCGTTTGGGAAAGACGTCGTTGCAAATATCATTCAGAGCAGACCACGCGTCAAGACACGAGCGTGCTTTGGATGCGGCAAGGTTGGGCACATTTCGGCTGCTGCCCCGACGAGAAGAAGAAAATAAGGTTGATAGTGCCAAGGGTGGCTGGAGGAGAAACGGCAAGAAGAAGAAGGCAGTTGTAAACTACACCTTGTGTACGGAAGCACTATTGGAAGATGCTCGCATTGCGAAAATCACTGCTTAGTAGCTGTTGACAAAATGCCTCAGCTGACGCTGGTTGGTAGCGTACTGCTTCGGGTAATGGCGCTCGGCAAGCCTAGCATCGTTCGCCTAACGGACGTCTACTACGCACCAATGCTAGCTCGCAACATATTTTCGTACGGCAAGCTAGAACTCAAAGGATACGGACTCGACTATACAAACGATCGGCGAGCAATCAGACCGCTCAGCACCGGTGACGTCGTCTTTGATGTGGCAATGCAAAGCAACGTGCTTGTTGTAGAAGTGCAAGCCAAACACGAAAGCATCAGCAAGGCTGGCTCCATCGTGGCATCGATCATTAAGGTGATGGAGCGCGGAGAAGACGTGCAGCGTGCAACAGTCATGCATTCTCATCAGCGCTTGGGATCCCTTTCGTACAACACAATCAAGAGGATGGCGCTCGAGCCCGGCTCTGGAATTCAGCTCACGGGTTGTCGACGCATGGTGTGCGTCATGCGCGCCAAGAGTAAGCAAACCAAGAACGCGCAGTCAAACAAATTAACACGGGCGCGCACTTCCCGATCGATCGCATCAGATGTTGATTTGCTAGGATATTAAGGGACTGATGACACCAAAAGACCGACGTGAAAATCGGTACCTCGTTAACTTTGTCGAACATAAGAGCAATTACTGCCGCGTATTCCTGGCACGCACCAAGGACCACGCGGCAAAAAGGTTCAAGGGGTTCTTGGTGTTCTTTGAGAATCGTTTTGACTATCGCGTTCATTACTACGCGGAGATAGGGGTGGTGAATATCGGAACATCGATTTGTTATGCAAGCCAGTAGGCATGTCACGGCAGGTGAGCGAAGCAAGGAATTAAGCATCAAATTGCAAGGCAGGACGCATGCACCAGATGAATCTAAACATAGCACGCTATATTTTTTGCAAGCAAGCTCCCGCTGAGATTCTGGAGAGATGCGGTGGAGTACTCGGCCTACATACTGAATCGCAATCCCACGAGCTCAAATGTCAGCCAAGCATCCTGCTAACAAGCCAAGTACCCGACCTTCGTGACATAGTTACTTTCGGCTCAGTGTGCACAGTATATCGTAACCCGAAGAAGAACTCTTTTGCTTATAGGGCAAGAATATCAAGGCAACCCTCGACAAGCAAAGCGAACAAATACGCTATGAAGCAGGAGCTGAGGAGGAAACACCGTCGGTTAACAAGGTCGTATCGAAAGCAAAAGGAAAGACTGATCAGCAATCGTGGGTACGTGCGACACATGCGACACCTGCCACACGAGGGGCTGCCAACCGAGCGGCACAAGGCTCTCAACAAGTGACAAGTGATGTTGCACCTGTAATGCAACTTTACGAGGCTGATTTTAAAGATAAACGCTGAGGCAGTGCGCAATTTGAAAGCTGAAGTCTGAAGAAAGGCAATGCTCGAGGATTTCCTAGCTCTCGAATAAAACGGCGTCTGGAATGAGATCAAGCGACCAGCCAACGCAAACATGCTGCACAGTAAGTAGGTATTCAAGACCAAAACGGATGCGAATGGCGCGGTAAAGCGTCTGAGATCTCGTCTAGTTGCGTGCGGGAATAAGCAAGCTTTCGGAATAGACTTTGCGCTCACGTTTGCTGCTGTCATGGATACGTCGACAGTAAAGGTTACTCCAGGATTTGCAGCGACGTGGCCGGCAAAGCATGGTGATATTCCAAACGCCTACGTCAAAGCTGACAAGGAAAATGACCTTGAGATCCTGCTTCATGTGTCAAGTGGTATGGACATCAATGATGAGCTACAAAAGAAACTTGGTGCGACCAACGCAAACAAAGTAGCGCTCGATCTTAAGAAGAGCCTGTATGGACTGAAGCAGGCGGGACGATTATGGAATCAACTACTACACGCAAGTCTCTCAGACGCTGGTTTCACGCAGTGTATTAGTGACATATGCCTGTACTTCAAGCGCAACGAAAAAGACTTGACAGCGGCTGGCGTATACGTCAACATTTCTCTTGTTACAGCAACAGGAGCTGCAGCGGTTGAGCGGGGTTTCATTTCAATTGCTTTGCTTTCGAATAAAAATCTCGGATCAGTGTCGAAGTTTCTCGGTACAAGAGTGATGGCACGCGACGTGCACACATATGCTCCCGATTAGAGGAGGCCGTTGTCGATCTGTTGCGTGAACACGGTATGGCATAAAAACACCTACGCGGACACCTAATGTTGCCGACTGCTACGACGAAGTCACAGCAGACAGTGTACTGCTGCAGAAAAATGCCGGCTTCGTTGGTCGGTCGTCTGCTATGGATCGCACGATGCACGTGGCCAGACATTGCATTTGCGGCTCACAAAGCCACACAACAGACACATGCGCCCCGTGTACGAGATTGGAAACTGTCAAAGAATGATTCCGCGCTACCTCAGTGGAAGAAAAGTGATGCGGCTTGAAATGCGCGGTAATGCCGTTTGCGACGGATCAACGATGCTTGAGTCTTAGAGTGATGCCGATTTGCTACCGACAAGGGAGACAGAACGCTGCTTACTGGTGATATCGTTCTAATAAATGGAATGTCTGCGAACTGGACAGCCAAGAAACAGGGTAGTGTCTCTTTCTCGACTATGGAAGCCGAATTTTTCGCAGCATCTGAGGCGACACGCGAGCTCCTCGGTATTCAAGAGGTACTTAAAGAGGTGGGACTCGCGTCGGCTCAGCCTATGGTGATGCATGTGGATAACCAGACCGCGATTCGTCAGATCGAAGAAGAGACTTCGTTCATAAACGCTAGACATATTGACGTGCGTTTCAACTTTTTTCAAGATCTGGCTCGTCGAGGCGTGGTGGTGATGCGTTACGTCCGCTCGGCCAGTGCTTGGGCTTTCATGCAAAGACGTCTATCTCGTGCCCTTTCAACTTAAACATTATGTATCACCAACAGTCGCACTGAGTGGTTGAATAGAGAGTAGACGGTTATGTTTAAATGAGGCATGCTCAATTCATGGTCATCAGGCGATGGTGTTTTCAGAAAACGTAAAGGATGTACTGCTCGCAAGGGAATTTTGGGATTTAGCTTTGTTGTTAAAACAGTGATGTAGATCGTGATCTGGTAGACGTGCATCTCAGCGCAGATTCGACTTTCAATCAAAACAGCCATTATTTATGTGCTAAGTCATAATCTGATCTAACGCATAATTTGAGCGACGTGATAGCACGCCTAATTTATCGCGACCACATCAAGCCAAACGTGATTAACTTATTTAAAATATATATACTTGGCATAAAAAAGCCAGCACCTTGCCACCTTCTGCGAGTTGTTTTGGCGGCAAAGTTGCCGTGCGTAAGGATATCGACCGCAAATGGATTAGATCCGAACGAGTGCTCCCTGCTGTAGACAAGTGTACAGATCATGGCAAGTAGCACAATAATTTATTGACACCCATCGGTATCAGATCCCATTATATGGCAAAGTTCGATCCTCACGACCGCAATGTGCGGCGTGGATCTGGAAAGGCCAGAATAGCTGCGAACACGAGGTCTGGATGCCTGCCTCATCTGCCACCTGAGCACATGTGACTATTCTTTTAAGGTAAGATTGGCGAACAGTCGTGACATGCCAGCATAGTTTGCACTATACTTGTACAAGTAGTTAATCAAGCCACCCTGGAAAGTTCTTTCAGGGTAATGGTACCAACCAGTCCACTATGGTTTTAATCTTTGCTGAACTACCAAAACATTTCAAGACGGGACCCTGACAGCACCAAAGCTGCGATTATCTACATTTGCACAGAGCGACCTAAGGCTTTAACACAGCTTGCAAGCAGTCGGCATAATGCCACTATAAGCCAAAATGAGAAGTTGGAAGTCACTGACCCCTCCAGTCACCTTTTAGCAGAGGTATACAGCAGTAGTATTTATGCGAGTCTGCACACCGTCCTTTTGGCACTGAACACCGAATGTGTTGAAGATTATCTTACTCAATTTGCGAACTAAACGTTGCCTCATCCATCTCACAGTATTGGCTGGCTTCAGTGAAGCAGGCATAATGGTTGAATTTGGTCATACAGATTTCATTTTGCGAAGTGCAAAACACATCTAAGACGTCGACGTGGGCGCTACTCCACTCCAAAGCTTACTTCGAGTAGTCCTGCTCGTCCTGAAAGCCTGTTGAAATAGCTACTGGTCAAGTCTTTAGCTTGAAGCATGGCTAGACTGCATTTCTTAGTGGAAACGAGTTGCGCTTGCGAATACAGTCTCTTTTCCCGAGTTGAAGAAGTCAGAGAGCGTAAGTGGCAACGGCACCAAGGGGAGCAAAACGTCAAACCTCGGTGGTTGTAAAGTGAAAGTATCTACCTCACTTCGCGATGTAACATATACATCCATGGTGAAGCAGACGACCAATAATCCGTTCCACACGATATGAGCCACCTTTTGCTCATTAAACATTGCCAGCAAACTACAATTTTAATTATCAGAAATTTCGGTTATGATAGCACGTCAACGCTTTTCAAGTGTCTCAGAATGTAGCTAATACTGATTTGGGTCACATTTTTGCATGCGCTCTTTCAGCTACACCGTGGCATAAAGCACACTCCAGCGGTGTAGACTCGCGCCACAGCCATTAAGCATTAGGTAGTATGGAGTATCTGGGATTTTATTCCACCTTTGACGGAGCGCTTTGCATTCTATTGACTCAAAAAGTTTGGCGCGGTACGACCCTTACAAGCCCCACAAAAAACTTTATTCTTCGAGGTTTGATTGCTTCTTCACCAATTACAAGTTTTTGTGTCCTGTCTACCACATTCTACAATAGCGTTCGGCCATAGCTTCGCGCATTTCACGCATGACACTCAATCTCGTCGAAGATATATCTAAATTTTTGCTGCGAGATATTGCCGGGCTGTACTCTGTAAGTCAAATCGTATCGACAAATCCCTCGCCAAGACTGTAGCCACTTTGTGGTGGTGTCAAACACATGGTCTGATTTTGAATATGTGGCTCCTGTAGATGCACGACCTACGTTATTCGATGCAACATATACGTGAGAGCAATCCGCCCCAGCACCCCTGCTACCTTGCGCCTGAACTTTGCAAGGAATACTTCACGAGATTTACTTGTTAAATGGCACCATCTTGCCATTCTCTGCGTGATGTTTGGTAATGATAGTTCAAAGACGCAGATCACGGATGCACCAGATCTCATTTATAATTTTTTTTGACAGAGTAAACTTTACGGCAGGTAGCTCCTTCTCATCGTCATCAATGCTAACGAGATTCTAACGCAATGATCCATTTATGTACACACCCTATCGTATAGGATAAACGACATGAAACGGTTACGGCTATCAAGTAGGATAGTATCTTAGCCTTAAAGATCGTCTTTTCTACCGCATTTCAGTACTATTAGATATCCATTTGCAATGAAGCTGGAAAGGGTCTACAGCTTATTGACATAATTTGCGCTTAGTATTTGCCGAGCAGAGCTAATCCCTTAATTTCTTGGAATAGCAACACTGGCCAAACAACGATAACCATGATCTGCGCAGGACCTCCCGTAAATAATGTTTCTTAGTACTCAATTGGGAGAGAAGCTGGTCGGTGCAAAACTCACACGCGTATATGCTGGAAATATCTCGTTTAGGCGCATGTACTCGAGTATTGCTCGCAAATATCTGATGTGGATTTCCGCATCAGATTCCTGTTCTCGACAAACAGGTGGACAAAATATCGCCAAAATAAGTTCACGGTGCAGTTAACTAGCTGCGTTGCTAGACAATTGAGTGTCGTTGGTGGTTTCGGCAGTCCTTGATGCAAAGATATTTTGAAATAATTTTAAAATCGCCACAATGAGAGTAATTTGACTGGTGGCTGATTAATTTATCAGCTAGGTCGTAAATATCTAGAAAGGACCATCCCACAATGCTGTCCTACTGCTCGTTCAGTTAAGGAATTTGTGATCAAGATTGACCTATGGCTTTTTATAACGTAAAGAATTCATGTACAATATGTTGGTTACTGTCAGTTTTTACACAAAAATCACCCCCGAATGCCAAAGTTGCTCTTTTCAAATTTGATTTGCTTTGTACGACAGTACATTTATGACGTTGCACTGCTCTCTAGTTCAAAATTGACGTGTGACGTAATAATTTGTGCGATAAACTAAAGGATATTTACAGCGCACGCCTCGGTCCGGGATTGTTAGCTGTGGTGGATCTCTTGTCACCACGTCTTGATACTATATCAACAAAAAGCTGCGTAGGATTGTGGGGGTAGTCGTTTATCGCCTCACAATCGGTGTTTAGCAAGCATTCGTAACGACGGACGAATGATGCGTTCAATTTCTACGAAGTAACCATAAGATATCTTACAGTCTTACACCAAATTCTCAAGATTAAGTTTTCAGCTCAAACTGAAATTCTGTCTGAGCAAACTATGCTCCCTACGTATACTTGAAATTTTCAATCGCGACTGAAGAACATCTATCGCGAAAAAACGTTTTAAGCTTCACTGCTTTGCACAGCTTAAAAAGTTTTTTGGCGATAGATGTTATTCAGTCGCGATTGAAAATACCAGTGGTTCGTCACACTGTAGTTGTAATGGCTTGACGCATCAAGGAAGAGTTGTCTTGATTCTATTATTCGCGATATTAATTGACCTATTTACCGGCTCAAACAGAGACGTCCGTAATACTATGACGCTTTAACTCGTCTATCGGGGATCAAGCTCTGGCGACCAAGACACATACTCACTCGTATCCGTCCTGCCAACATACATCTGGGATTCTCAGCTAATAATCGTCTTAATGGAAACACGCAGTGGAGATCAGGAAAATGATCGCTACTAAAATAAAGCTGATCGTTGCCTCAGCCTTTTAAGCTTCGCTGTATGCGCTTAGCAGCACCGTTGCGATTTTTCCGGACAATCCCATGTCTTGCATATGAGCTTAGAGCAACTTCATCCTGGCGCTCAAGTGTTTCGCTTTATACGAAAGACTAAAGCATGACTTATTCGAAGAGGTTTAGGAGCACTAGATTTTTACGACACTTAATCAATATATGGCTTCATGGCGTCTCTGCCACGTCGTACCCTAGAATAAGATCAAATGCTAAATTTTGGAGCTCATAAACACATCAAACGCGCTTGAGCGACAAGAAAGCGATTTCAGACGTGAAACGATCAGGACCAATTCGACTTGGAGATGAGAAGAACAACTTGAATTCCAAAAGGCAAGTTGAATGGGAATAGGTTCATTATTCCTAGAGCAACAAAAAACACCCCAAGAGCTATGGATTTCAGGTTTATTTAATTTATGCAATCAAGGCTGTACTGAGGTTGAACCTCCTCTCTAACTTATAAAACATCTTGAGTGGGCGTAGCTTGAACTTAGAAAGGCTTGAATTTGAAATTCTATTGAAAGATTCCAGCAGAAGTGACTGGTTTGCACCATTCACTTAAAAGAGACTAAGACACGTCGGTTTTGTCACCCAGGTAGCACACAGAATGTCATTGACTTTTGGAAAATGTCACATATGCATGTGAGGAAGCCATAAAGTATTCCCCAGGACGCACACAGAAGATGCATCTATGGATTTTCATGTAATGACCAACTGTAGACCCATATATCAGCAGGTTAAGGACCACTCTCTTCCTCATTCCGGTAGTATGATAACCCTTTGACGCGAATAAGAAGTCTCCAGCTTTCTCTCTCTAACCATACCAAAGGTGGGCTTTTTATTCGGTGCAATATCCACCGCGCCTCACTAGATACAGCGTGTACAATGAAATATTTTTTTGCGAAGTGCACCTGCACGACGATACTTCATGTAATGGTAACGTCAACAATTTCAAAAGAAAGCTTTGCTGCCAAACCGGCAATGAGCTTTTTCAGGTCCTAGTTATTGTCCAATAATGTATATATGCCTCCCTTGGCTGGTAGGCAAGAATTCTGACCGAACACGATACGCCTGGTTAGGTGGTAACGGGAAATTTGCGACACCGTCGCGCTGTATATCAATCGTGATCATGGCCGAATGTTAAGCCCCTGATTTCATTTGTCCAGAGGGGATGAATTTATACTTTATAGGGTCGTAAGGAAATGAGGTCCCACTGTGTAAGGCGATTGATCTCCGCAAATGCTGGCTTAAGTCGCTTTTTGTGTTGTGTCACCAGCGCAATTTAGCTAACGAAACCCAGGTGAGCGATCGCCGCTTTGGACTCCTTTTAAACGACAGAGGTTCATCAAGAGTTACTTGTAAAGTCGAGGACAGATATGTACGAAACTTACGTTCATTTTCAGATAAATCTGGTCTTATTAGGACTCGGTCGGTGAATTGATGACAAAAGCTACCTATCACAGCGGGGTTGCGGTCTCGCCTTTAACTCTACGAATCAACGGTAGCTAACGTGCATGAATTGGACTAATTCGCCTAACCTGGAGCCTCGAAGTAGCAAGTAATTAGTTTTGCTTTCCAGAATAAAATCTACATCTTTGACTAATACTATATGTGGCTGTTTGCAAGCAACACGAAAATCTACGTAGTTTATAGCGCGAGAGCTAGCAGGCCACGGACCCCTCTTTCCAAATTTCCATCCTTTCTTTTGTATCAGTGCAAATTATGATACTTCATCAAAGTATTAGGGAGCCCGAAGGATAGCAGTGACAAAATTGTATGGTGTACATACACCATTATATCCCCTTCAAAAGAAGCGCCTCATTCAGACTTTATATTAAAGAAACACTTGTCATTATTCGCAAGCAAAATCGGTGGTAAGTGATTTTGAGTGTTGCGGTCGCTGCGAATCCGTCAAACAATAGGCATTAATTCAAGTAATTTTGTCATACGCATATCTACATTACACCTGCGACGCGTACTTACAGAAGCCTTGATTAATTCTCATGGGAGCTTAAAGTTTAATTTTGTTTTGTCCAGAGACGACTAAACGTACTAAAGCAGTTGCATCTCATCACCACTGATTCATAACAGCTTGATCATTGTCTATTTCCGCAATACGATTCCTTTGCTCACCGCTTGCCGTACGAGTTGGCTCGACGCCCATGTTGATACCGCAACACGTTCGTCAACACGAACACTTGCCAATTTTTTGGCGTACCTCTTTGCGGATCCCCCGCTCCATACCGCATTTGTAACGGGGTTACACGTACCCTGGTATGAAGGGTTCGGTCACACAAGATGGTGTGACCGTACTGAGGTGTGGAATACACAAGTCGGTGTAATCACACGATGGTATGGCTACACCGTAACAAGAAGCCACTACGTGGCGGAACTGCCTGTAATTATGCATTTTTACTATTCAATTAGGAAGACCTGAGGTTTGAGGTATAGGCGGCTCTGCCGCAAATAAATCAGAAAGATACAATTTCAATTTTAAGCGGATGAGTGTATTTTCCTGATTTTTTGAGGTAGTGGATTGCGATCCGCTACACTCGTACTGCTTCTGGTATAGAACGTAAGGTCGGTGACCTTAGCTTAGCTTCCTTTAAGCAAAGAGCTACGGCAGCCCCGCTGCAGCATTTGATTTTGATATAGACCGACCTATTCCCTTCCTTCAACTTTTGGCCACTGCTGCAATATAACGCTTCCAGATAGTACTCACATTGTGGGATCACGATCAACTTGGAGACCGATCTAGGTGGGCTGTTCTCCGTCTCAAGAACCTATCAATATTGATATCCTTCGGTCTTGAATTTGGCATGTGTGGTATCAAGATTAGAGATATGGGCCTTGTTTTTTTCAAGAAATTAATGTTGATTTGTGGTCCAATGTAAGGACCGACAAATCAGTTGGAATGTTTTATCACCATCGACATTTTTCAACTAAAGTTGTCGCTTCACGACGTCTGAATCACCACGGGCAAAGTCTTCTCGAAGCTGTTCAAAAAGTCCGAGCACGTCTATGCTCCGTGCCCACAGCCCACAGCGATGCCAAAGCATTGGTGGCCAACGCTGTGCAACCTCCACTCGCATCTAGCAACGACGTCTACTTTGAGGATGAGCGTAAGTTGACTAGGCTTGAGGCTGCAGAACTTGACCGCTGTGTGGAGCGTCGATTAAAAGGGGAACCACTTGCTTATATAACTGGACGGAAGTGGTTTTGGTCGTTAGAGTTCAATGTTTCAAAGGATACCCTTATCCCTCGAAGTGACAGTGAAGTTCTGATCGAGACGTTAGTTGTAAGTAACTTGTTCTTTTACAATATTGCTCGTTGCTGAAAGTCATTTTTTTATTATCTAGGAAGAGATCAATCCAGAAACGCCGTTGAAAATTTTGGATATCGGCACGGGGTCAGGATGTTTATTGCTGTCCGCTTTGTCCGAGTTTCCTCATGCTACTGGAGTGGGTATCGATGTATGCCCGAGAGCTCTAGCTGTGGCAAAACAAAATGCTATTTCAACTGATCTCGCCACAAGAGCAACATTTTTATTGCGCGATTTGAGTGCGTTGCCTGGTCTTAGTAGTAGTGAGGACAAGACGCTGTGCCATCGTTTTGATGTGATTCTGTGTAATCCACCGTATATTCCAAGGCAGGAAACTGACCTGGTAGAACCTGAGGTGTTGAACTATGAACCACACCTTGCTCTTTTTGCAGATGGCGGATCCAATCTCGATGACAGTGAAGTGGACCCCGAAGGACTACGTATGTATAGAATAGTATACGAAAGTGTTGACAATCTTTTTCGATCCGATGCTAAAATGAATCGAGATGCAGCGTTAGCTCGAAGCTCAGATAAGCTTTTAATTCTGGAAGTTGGGTCTGAAAAGCAAGCTCAAGCAGTGCGAAGATTATTTTCAACCAAAGATCCAAGAAAGGGCCTCCACCTGCACTTCAAGCGGTTTTTATTTGATGCATGTGGTAAATATCGAGGCATTCTCTTTCTGGCACAATAGATTCGTTTTCTTACAGCATTCAAAGCACATAAGATTTGCTGGGCATGTTTGGAGCAAGTCATGTTGAGTATACATCACTTTTTAATGTAACGTAAAGTCGAGGACTTGAATAAGTAGATGTCATGTCATACTATTTCAATTGGTAATTCTGATCACTCCAAGTGACTAGTCGCCAGAATGAACGAAAATCTCGCTGCTCGACAGGAAAAATTGCATCGACAGAATCAGGAGCTAAATCAAGAGGTTGAAGCCATCGAGCAGCGCCGACAGCAATTGTCTAATGACATTAAACCTACATCTTCCTCAACTATTCTACGTGGTACTCGGACTGCATCTCAATCGCAACCACTCCACTATAAAGTAAACTCGAAACGTAATGACGAAGATCCAAACAAATCTAAATTACTTCTGGAGATTAATTTAACTGAATCGATCGATTCTTTAAGCACACAGGGAGAGAAAGAAGCATGCCCTCAGCTTGTTAAAAACGACAAAAAAGAGATAAGCTCGAGGAAAAAATCAGCGGAATCTAAACGGAAGAACAAACAAAATCAAAGCGAAGCTTTAGCGAAAGACGCGTTACACAATCATCAAAATAACGCTGTTGACGGCAATACTTTTAACGATGTAGACTCAATCCGAGACAGTAATCCAAAAGGTCTGAGCCTTGAAGCAACGGTGCGATATCAAAAAGCACGTCTGCGTGTCTTGCAAGATGAAAAAGACGAAGCTCTTGCTCAAATCGAGCGATTGGTTAGTAACTTAATTTGCTGATTTAGGTTCAGCCTAAGTTTGATGTCTTGAGTTGAATTTGTATATTCGAAGCAAGCGACACATGCTGCACTAAAAGGCGAATTGGACACGCTAAAGACAGAGAACTCGGCCCTATTAAAAAAGAATCAGCAGATTCAGCAGCTAGTTGAGAAGCAGCGCGAGCTTTCGTACGTTTCTTGACAATTTGATTATCATAGTTAGTTCTTGTATTGAATATAAGCTGCATAGAGTGGCACAGGAGGAGAAACAACGAATCCTTGAAAATCAGCTGGCATCGGCTCAAGAGAATATTGAAAAGACTTTACGTGCAGAAAAAATCGCGACGCAACAATTTCGCTCAAAAGATGTACGACGCCTGTACAATATGCCGACAAAAAGCTGGCTGACACGTGTGTAGGTTCGTCTGGATCGAGCACTTGAGGAAATTGAAAAGTTGAAGGTACAATTGCAGAATGAGAAGATGAATCATACCGAGCAAATGGTTACCAAGGAAGAGTTTGATCAGGTTGTGCACGATAACAAAAAGCTTGACAAGCAGAAGGTAAGATCATACACATTTGATCGCTTCTCTGGGCCATTATTAAACAAAATTTATCAGGGAGAGCTTTTAATCGCTTTTAAGAAGCAAATGAAGCTGATTGATTTGCTCAAACGCCAACGAGTTCACATGGAGGCAAGTTTCTACAGTGACATGTATCTCATTAGATCTTCACACTCTATTTTTGATAGGCAGCCAAAATGCTCTCATTCACAGAAGCCGAATTCAGCAAGACATTAGAGCTCGGCTAACTCAGACTTTGTTTTAACATATGAGACGGTATCATTGGATTTGCATGAGCTCTTGCTGCAAGGCGAATCGAGCTTCAATACGCTGGGCTTCAAGCACACTAGTCAATTCAATCTGTTAAGGCATGAAAACAAGAAGGTTGTCAATACAGTCACTCTTAACTCCATGATTGTTTCTTTTTAAAATCCACTGAACAAGCAGGTCGAACCTTTTTTTCATTAAGATAGTGAAAAGCTTGCCAATGAGCTTCTTGTAATGCCTCAACCTGAGAAATACTCAAGGTGTCATACGGCTCCAGCTCGCGGTCGCTCGTTGACGATGCGATAAGAAATTTTTCGACATCAATCTCCAGCTCGGCTGCAACAGGAAATGTGGAATGGAATTGTTTGTTCAGCCCATCGTAAGATAAATTTGAACTCAAGGATTCGTTTTCATCGTCCTCTGATAGCACTTGGCGTCGCGGGGACACCGTTGCAATCGCAGTCGTCACCTTTAAACTCAATTGCTCGCTTCCTGGGGCTTCAATTACAGTAGATACATTTAAACTTGCCTTAGAATGCTTTGAACGCGCCGCCTGCGTAGCTTGTGATGAGATCGACTTTCGTATAATGTTCGTTTGTGTAGTCTCGATCATTTTGTCATTCAAGCTATCATGAGGATTTTCGTATTTGCTGCCCAAATTCTTACACCCTGCAAATAAATGTTAGCTTACAATCGATTAAAATGTCAATACGTCAGTAGAACTCACGATTTTTTCTGGACACAATTCGAAGCCAGTCGCCGTCGTCACAGTCAACTCGATTTTCAAAATTGTTGCAATTTAGATCAAGCATAGCGACCTTCTCGACTACTTGTGTATCATTCAAACTCGATGGCGGCGTGAAGTTTTCGTTTTTTTCTTTTATTTTACTAAGCTCAGGCTCGTCCTGTGTGGGCTTCGATCTTGTCGACACATCTTCGGACATTTTCTGCACAGCCTTCGTTCTTTTCTTCAGTTTCTTCGTCTTATTTTCTCTTTTGCGCAGCTTACTGCGACTCAATTTATTCCCATTATCTTCTATTGACAGATCCAACAGCTCTTGTTCCATCATTGCGCATCGTTTAGCTGCCTCTCTCGTACACTGATCCCATTTGTTGGACAAAACTTGTTCCATCTGCATAGTCGCCATTCCTGAAGACTGTTTGCTCAACTCTAACGCCGTCTTTCGTTCTTTATTTCGCAACGTAATGTCAAGATTTAGAGCATTTTGAACCAAAGACTTTACAGCATCAATATTATCGCTCAATACAGCAAGATGCAACGCTGTATTACCACCTTCTTTCTCCACAACATTCGCTTTTGCTCCATTTAGAAGTAAATTTTCGATGATCACAGCACTACACATCATCATTTCCTCAACGGGCAAAGCACCCGAGCGTGGATCTCGTCCGACGCGAGCAGCACACATAAGTGCACTCAGTCCACTTACATTGATTACATCAATTTTTGCACCCAATTCAACAAGACGTTGCACTGCTGTTACATTCTTCGCTACGCAAGCCATCATCAGTGCTAATTGTTAAGATCAAATTGCGCATACGTTAGCGTCTCATCCACAATCCTCAAATCAAATTAGCGGTGCACCTGTATCACCATGAGCATTTTGCTGATCAATTATTTGCCGAATTTTCTCTTGTCGCTCACCCGTTGCAATTAATTCTTCAATCACACGAGTCTACAAATAAAGTGTCAGCAACTCTAGTCCTTAAAAAATGGCGTCAACTACATACGTTTCTAGACATAGCGGTAAGGTGCAGAAAAGTTGTCTTGTTAGTGATTGTAGCACAATCTACTGCTTCAGTTCGATCTAAAGCAAATCCCGCGAGGTCATCACGGCCTAAAATTCATAATCATACGAATCAATTGTCATTGCAATTATCACAAAGATTATTGTCTACGACAGACCACATGCGCACACGCTCATAAGGATGCTCCATCCCATATCATTAACTTGATCAAAGTCAATCTGTCGTTCTTGAAAGTATTTGATGCACTCATCATAAGTAGCAAACTCCACAAGGCGATGCGCAAAGGCTTGCGCTTTAGCTTTGGCGTTGATTTTCATTTATACAACAAATTTCAATGGTTATCACTCGTACTTAATCGAAAGGTAAACAAAAGTGGTTTCAAGAAAAGTCGAGTTTTGTAAGAAACAATTCTTCAAGTGACGGTAGATAATTACGTCGATTGGTTGGTGATGTTGAAGTGAAGCTAAGATGGTTACAGTGTGTGGTGAATGCAGAATGAATCGTGAGCTAGATGGACTTTTAGACAAATTGTCGAAAATTAATCAAGAGATGGGTGGAGATGATGGAAAGAGTACGAAAAAGGAGAAGAAGGGTGATATGTTTCATGAGCTTAAGACGAAAATTGGCGAGAGACTGCATCATCTTAAGATGGTAATGCAACGTATTGAGGAATCCAAACTGTGACTTAGTTTAAATTTTGTATTGTAGACATTGCAAGATAATGATGTAGCGGCAACAAAGAGAGGAAGACACCCACGTGAAGCTATTCGACGTCAACAGGAGATTCGAGAAGACATTCGACTTGTTGGAGTTGATATTAAAGATCTTACTGCTAGTTTTGATCTTGAATTGAAAAAAAGAAAAGTAAGACACGTTTGGTTGCGATTGAAGAGACTACTCACATATTCTTGTGTTTGTATTTAGAGCAAATTTCCACCCGAAGAATTAGCTATGAGGAAAGAGATCGTGACACAATATTTGGCAGAATACGAACGCATTAAAGAGCTTGCTGCTGCCAATTATCGCTCTCCAGCGGGTAGAACAGCATTTGATACTGGTGGTGTTGCAGCACCGATCGGTTCTTTTGAAAATGGCGCTTTTACTGCACGGACGAATGTAGCGACCGAAAATCTTGCTTTTGGAAGCTCAGGTGGTCCAGGCGGCTCAGTGAGAGAAGGTCCAATTGAGCGAGAAATGATTACTGATGACCAACGTGCCATGCTATCTGATATCCAACGGAACGATCAGCGATTCGTACGAAGCTTTTACTTGCAATTCTAACGATCTGCATGTGTCAACTACGTATTGCCTTTGTATAGGACAACATTATTGAGCAAATTGGAACGGGAGTTCAAGAGCTTGGCCAACAGGCACGAATGCTAAACGAAGAACTGCAGCAACAGGCTATAATGATCGATGGCCTAGGCGAACGAATCGATAACACACAAGCGCATGGTACAGATCTCACACTTGCCGCGCACTTTAATCTTGTATTTATACTGTTTCTGACTATATGCAGTCGAAAGCGTGAATAAAAAGATGAAAGATACTCTTACAAAGGTTGGTCGCGGTGCGGATAAGTGCATGATGGACATGATCTGCCTCATTCTATTGCTTGGAATCCTGGCTGTAGTCTACAACATGTTTATCAAAAAGGACCCAAGCACTAGTGTAACCAAAACGTGATCTGACCACAATAATAGTGAAGGAGTAAACTAATTGCTATGACTTGAATCTATCTTGCATCGGCAAGTTGTTCAATTCAACATCTAGACTCAAAACTGAATCCGCACGCACCAATTTTGCTCAATTTCGCTCGTATCATTGCGTTTACTTGTCAAGGGTCAAATCTTGCAGCTCATAGTTTGCTGTGAAAAGCTTCAGTCTCGTATACAAATCTGCACATCTCAACGTGACAGCTTGCATGGTATTTCGAGCTTCATACGGTATTGGATTGATTCTCGTCCTATGGTCCATAGATCGATCGAGGCGGGGGGGCATTCGATCCTCCCGGTCCAGGCGGTACCATTGTGCCCATAGCTCCCATCGGTGGTGGTCCACGGGGTGGTCCTAGAGTCGTGAGATGAAGAGGCACATATATATATCAGTGCCAACATCATATCAAGTGCATCCCTATTACTTACCTCGAAACATAGGAGGACGCATGTTAATTCCAGGAGGTGGTACCATGCCTCGAGGTGGTCCTCCACGAGGTGGAATTCCTGGTATGCCACCGAGTAGAGGTCCACTAGGTCGCGGAGGCAAAGAACCCATTGGCGCTGGTCCTCTAAGCCACTCACCAGCTACAGTATTGACATATCAAATTTGTGTGCAGGATAACACATGAATCATATAATTTACGGTTCATGACGACACCCTGGCCAGCCAGGAACTGCTCGTAATAAAGTTTGACATTCTCACGGTGCTTCCAACCACGATTGTGTTGCTTGCGTCCGGCTTGCTATAGCAAACTCAAAAATTAGCACAATTGTCAAAGCAATGGGTTCTAGAGCGATCTACAAGCTCTACAGCTAGCTACACACCGAGTCGTGCGTGAGGTAGGTGTCGCAATAGTCGCAGTAATAGCGCGGCATATCCGGTGAACAATGCAAAATTTGCAGTAGATGTTGACACTCGCTAAAGTAGGGTATTTTAAAAAAATCAAATGTGGAAAACATCACAAAAAATGACATTTGAGCTTTATTTTGGTAAAAGAAAAAGCCTCGTGTTGTTAATTTAGCGATAGAGATTTGTGCAGAGTTACAGGAAAAAGATATCAGGGTGAGTGTACATGCTATATACGTACATCTTGAGGGCAGAAGCGCTTGTCATGAGCGCTACTTCCACAGCTGCTGCACCTGCGTGTCCTTTATTCGCCAGCAGGAGGTATCTACTGGTTATTTGAAATCTGCTGATTCATTTCCATTTTGAGCTATCAAAGGTCATGATTGGTGGGAGCAGCTCTCCAAGCTATGTTCTTGTCGAAAAACAAGCTCAACGCCGCCTCGAGACAATTGTCGAATTTTTGTCACCCTCGCACGTAACGTGAGGCTAGTCGATCCTGTTCGCTTTGACCAAATAAGCAATGTGGTATTGGCAAGTTAGCTCCATCTGCTGGATATGTGGGCTCGTGTATAAAATTGCATTCATGCCGATATTTCGCAACACTCGAAAGCCTTCAATGCCGCGCACAAAAAATAGTGTCTTGCACTTGACTCCCCGGTAAGCGATTATTACTTGTAGATTTCCGCCTGCGCAAATGGCACAACAATTCTCGCTTTCATTTTATAAGTCTATTGAGTTCTCAAGCATCCAAGGAGATTTCAATGAGCTTTTCCATGCACAACTGAAAGATGCAAAATGAAACTTCAACCAATATACCATCGCTTCAAATTTACAAACACTTAGGGTCCAAAGTAGACAATACTTTCGGGCTGGTCGCTGTGGATGGCCACGATCAATTTGCGATCGCGATAAAAAGGCTGGAGAACCTCTCGTCAACAACCCGCCAAGATTTCAATATTTTGCCGTAGCTCTATGCGAGTGATGATGGTGTTGTTTGCTATGCAGTCGACACAAATAAACGTGGTTTCCTTGCATACATCGTGACTCAGCCACGACACATCAATCCCAAAAGTCTCCCTATAGTAATTTTGATGACTCGCAACAAAAGGTATTGTTGATTACGCACGATAAAAGTGTGCTTCTTTAGCACGCTTGCAGGAGACGAGGCTGCCTCAGTTAGTTTGGCGAATTTCTTAAGCATTGAATGAATTTTCGCTTTTGCCGACGTCACCTTTGATGATGAGGGGCATCATGCAGTTTAGCTAGTATACTTGCTGCATGGTGGACCTAGCTTTGGAGAGACTAAGCTAGCATCTTGAGGTTGATGGTCACCGCCAGATGATCAACTTCAATCGTTACGACTTGGTGATGGGTGAAGAGAACATGATCGGTACAGCCGTTGTGCACAAAATTGTATGAGCTGATGAAATAGTCGCAGGCGTCCTTCGCCAATTACTTAGAGATGCGCATGTCAAAGAATACGGAGTTTAGCTCTACCAGCAAATTACTGTGCTCAACTCATCAGTATATTTTTATCGGCTTGTTCGTGAAAAAAAAATCCGGAATGAGCTTGCGTGAGTTCCTTTTTCCCTTAAACGCTGGCACTGACACAGAGTGAGCTCATATCATGGGTACCCTTGCTCTGTGTCTCCAATTGTGCTGGCAAACGCATGTAACGTTTTTGGAGTGGCTGTTTCTTCATCAGACGTCAATATTCAGGATCCAATATGTGTCCGCTATGGAAAATGCTAGGATGGAAAGCAATTGTCGTCTTCGTGGTCTGCGAGATAGACATGATGCAAAAGATGTCCGAATATCAAAGTAAGTGCCACAAGCAAAACTGAACCAGCCAAAGAAGCAGTGAGTCGCAGTTTCAGGATGTTACAAAAAATACGATCATTGGCGGGAATGTTTCGTTGCTGAAACAAAAATGAGCGACAGTTGTTGTGGCGCCGTTCGGAAATGTTTCGCAACGGTATTTTAAGTCATTTGTTAGATTTTTCGTATTACGGACTACTAACTTAATGGCGTCAACTTTTTTATCATCGCTGTTTTGTATTCATCAATTTAAGGGCGTTGGTCTTTTTTACATTGATTGCCCGGTTCATCAAAGAAGTGACAAAATGAATATTGATGAATCTGTGAGATGCTCATAGTTATCCAGAACCGTCTTAAACATTTAATTCGCTCTTTGTACTTGCTGGTGGCTAAGTAATGATCGGTATATATGGGATGACATGAAGTCAAAAGTGTTAAGTATGCTGCTATAGCCAATGCTTGCACTAACTTATGAGTTATGGTAACTGGCTCAAGTGGTTTAGCATC